GCGGACCTGCCCACAGCCGACAGAACGCATCAGTTCCCATCTTACAGCCCTCGCCTCTCCCCAGCCCGGCGGTAGGAGGCACATCGCTCCCAGACCATGTCCTAATAAACCTGGAAACATGAACACCTCTCTTCTGAATTGAGACGGAGCCTGGCTCGGGCACATTCGCGGGTCGCTCAATTTATCCCTCCAACGCCCGGAACCGAGCTGCGTGCTGCAGGTACTCAGACAGACACCAGGCCAACACAAAAGTTTGATTTCACGGACAATTAAACAGGGTCTCCAGGCTGAATGAAACTGTCACTCACGGGCCCCCGATTTCTGGTTCCACTAACCAACGACGTGACTGTCAGCCTGCAGCTCGGAGAGAAGGGAGGCCTGTCAGCTGTTTGTTTCTTAAACACTGCCTTTTCTCTTTGCGGCGGTGGTCAGTCTCAGTCCGAAATCTAACTGAAGCACGTGGGGCTCAAACACGAGGCTAAACACCTTTGAGAATAAAAAAAATCACCTTTTATCTAATCTGGCTGAAGGCAGGAGACAGATGAGGTGAAGGCCTAGAAGCAAAGGATGTGCGTGCCCTGAAGACGGCCGGCACGGGCGGGTGTGAGGAGGGTCGCCAGGCCCGGGAGGGTCGGACCTGCAGCAGCGGCCCGCCTGCCGCATTTGCCGACTTGGGGATTTCCACGGATTTTAAACCTTTGGAAAAAGGCTGATTTTCTTCTTTGTTCAACCGAAAAGTCCCAGGCCAAAGACCAAAAATGAACAGAATGAGCGGGGAGGGAGCTGGGAGACGTGGACACGGGTTTGTGGGGGCTGTGATCAGGGCCGGGGACCGGGCCCTGTCCTCCAGCTGACCAGCTCTCAGCTCTGGGCTAACGACACTGTTTGTGAAAAAGGCTGCCTGCACCGGGTACGTCCTAAATATGAATTTCATGGCTGCTTCGGAGAGGAAAATACATTTATGGTTCCTTTATGCCATTCCAGTCTATTGTGTAAATATGTAAATTCGGTTTCGTGATCTACACAATAAAATGCCTTGGGATAATTTGTGTAAATAAATCATCTGCATAAGCCCACTGCATAGTTTCCAAGGCCTTCCAGGGAACTTGGCGACACTGACTCGGAGGAAACGTACGCACAACCAGAGACATGCATCTTTGGTGAGGCTGCCCTTGGGTCCGCGCCCACTGACCGCCCTTCCCAGGAATAAAGAGTCTGTGTTCCAGCCCGAGATGCTAATCTCATAGCTGCTGCTGGGTTGTCTGCATGTCAGGGCAGCAATGGGGCGATTCTGCAGAATTTGCAAGGGGTTACGGTGAGGATGCAGAAGAGGAAGGGGTTGCATTGCCACCTGTCCTCACCTGCCCCCACCTGCCCCAGCCCACTGGCCACCTCGTGGCTCCAGCCACCAAGCTGACGAGCTGCCTGCCTCCCGGGTGCAAGATGGAGATTTGGCTGGGCGGGAAGACGGCAGGCCGAGCAGACGCAGGGGGCCCTGGGGGCCACCTAGGGCAAAGTGGCTCGGGCTCCCCAGACACCCTGTGGCGAGGGACCCGCAGGTGCCAGATGGACTTCGCCAAAAATAGGGCCTCCTCATGAAAACCTGGGCCCATCTCCCAGACCCCCGCTCCCTTCAAAATACTCGCCTGCCTGGAGAAAGTCTTGCCAGAGAGCTTCGGTGGAGAAAATAAGATAGAGCGTTTAATGTTTTGTGTAATGAGGCCTGTAATAGATGACAGCTGAGATCCAAAGCCCTAAGGCACCAGCAAGGTGTTTAAATATTGACAATCCATAAAAGCATTTCATTTGCCTCTGAGTTGCTGCTGGCCTGCATCACGGGAAGGAGGAGGCACACTTCCGCGGGGAGACGGTGAGCCCCGCGGCCGCTCTGGTTCGGTCCACGGTCTGAAAGGGGACCACGGTCTCAGAACAGAGCGGAGGCAAATCATCGCTCATTGAATAAAACAGCGTCTTGCAGGTCAGCGTCCTGTCACGTCTTAGTCCCCGAGGGCTGGTTTCCTCTTCGCAGCACCAACTGGCGGAGCTCGGGGTCCTGCTGATCTCAGGAGGCATCCGGCCAGCTGAGGCCCTCGGGGTGCAGGGCGCAGTGCGAGACCTAGGCCGGTGTCCCAGGTAGCTCATCTTCACACCGTCGTCCGGACTCCCCAAAGCTGCCCTTCTTCCAACAGGCCACCTGCTTCCTTCCTTATGGTGGATGGATGCGATTCTGATGACCCAATGAGAAGCCCAAGAATCAATACTTTCTCTTTGCTCAGAAAGTGCCGGAATGTGCTCTCCACTGCTAGGATTCCGAGCCCACACACCCGTGTGTGGCCGCTGACGTGGTCCATTCCCCACGGCTGATCTCTGACACGAAGATGCTCCTTCCAAAGATGCGCTGTTGCACTTGATTGATCAGGACGCCATCCGTGGGATACATGCATATATATTTTTTTTAAATCTTAAGCTGAGCTTTTGATTTTGAGGTAATTGTAAATAGAACCTCATGCAGTTATGGGAAATGATGCAGAGAGAAACCGAGTGTCCTTTATCTGGTGTCCGCCAACGGGATCATCTTGCAAAACAGCAGCAGAGCATGGCAGCCGGGAAGTGACACTGACACGGAGCGTTCCCGTCACTCCAGGGACCCCACTGCGGTCCTCACAGCCACGCATTAGGGGGGCGGGTCTTAACACTAGTCGGGGAGCAAGCCCTCGGCAGAAGGAGAGGAGCTGGCAGGGGTCCTCTGTGTGTGTGTCCTCTAGCGCAAGTCCTCTTACCTTTCCTCGGGGCCACAGCCCCCTTTGGCAATCTGCTGACTCGAAGGGACACCTTCTCGGGATGGCTTTAGATGCATAAAACGTGAGGGGAAGCCAGTTCTGCCCTAAAGCCTGCAGGAACCTAGAGGTGACTGGAGATTCCCAGCAGCCCCGTCTCCCAGGTCTGTGGACCGTGTGGGTCACGTGTGGTTTTCGTTGGGTGACGTGTTGGCCTACGTGGTTCTCTGGAAGACGGGGTACACAGACTTGGGTTTCAGGGAGCACCGCGATGCCAGGGCCACGCTGGGTGACAAGGTCCACGCAGCATTCGGACGACAAGGGCAGCCCTGTTGGGAGGCTCCGCGCGGCCGGGATGGATGGGAAACAGAGTGATTTCTGTTGCTCGCAACTCCACAGGCTATGCAGCTACGTTCGTGGTCTCTTACCTACCGTGGGGGGGTTGAATTTTGTCCCCTCAAAATTCACGCATTCAAGGTCTGATCCGCCATGTCTCAGCGTGTGACCTTATTTGGAAATAGGGTCTTTGTGGATGTAATTAGTCAAGACGAGGTCTTGAGGGGAGGCCCTAACCCAGTATGACTGGTGTCCTCATAAAAAGGAGGCATTTGGGCACAGGGAGAAGGCAGGGATGGGGGTGACGCCTCCACAAGCCAAGGAACGCCCAAGACTGAGGGCAAACCACTTGGGAGAGAGGGAGACAGGCCCGCACAGACCCTCCCTCACACCTCAGAGGACCCACCCTGCCACGCCCTGCCCTTGGACGCCCAGCCTCTGGGCAGAGGCAGGACACGCATGTGGGTGAAGCTGCCCAGTGTGGGGTCCATGGTTACAGCAGTCAGAGTAAACAAACACACCTGTGTTTATGAGGGAAGGAAATGCTGAATTTCAGTTAGGAGTCAGTGATGTCCAGGGATCTCCCAGATTCTCTCAGGAGCCCCTTGCTGGGCCTGAAAGCGCACAAAGCAAGCTTTGCAATGAATGCTCTCCCTAGATTTGGGGAGAAAAGCGTCGAGTTGCTTCCTTGGGGTCAGTGCGGCCTCCGCGGCCCTTGGCTGGGCCCAGATCTCACCGGGCCCGTATTCGAAGCTCCTGCAGTCTCGGAAAGTGCTGGGGAATCAGATGTCCTCAGCAGAGAGCCTGCTGTGTGCTCTCGGGGCTGCCTGATTTCAGAGGGACGGGGCAGGGGCCCAGTGGCCGCAGAAGGCCTGTACCGATTTGTGAGCCCCGCTTCCAGAACAGACTGAGTGCCTTGCTCAACCACAAGCTCCTAGGACCCCTCGGGCTGATGCGCTGAACGTGCTAATGCTTGAGCCAAAGAATTTTTCATATCACCTTTAACAGATGCTGTTTTGTCTCAGGCACCAGATTGTCTACTTAGGAGTTACTAGGAGGTGCTTGTAACTAGTAATCTCTCAAAAGCAGTTTTGTGGGCAGTCTGTCTGACACAGTGACGAGTATGACATGGCAGGCCTTCCTCTCGGCCCAACGGCTCTTGAACTATCCAACTACAGTGATGCCCAGCGCCGTGGGCAGGCTCTGGTGGCGGGCTTTCTGCAGGCAGCCCCGGCACACTGTAGATTTTCATGCTCAGATAGTCACGATTAGATGTGCCACCCTCTGAAGGTCACGGAGGACGTGCTCAGTATTCTCTGCATTTCGTGACACCCCCTAGCTCCCAGGAGTAATAGCCGGCTCAGTGCAGCAGAAATAGATTTTCCAATAATGCCCATGCTTAGTTATTACCGTTGAATGGGAGGAAGGGAGCGAAACCCTCTTAGGGCAAACAGGGTAGAGAATGGACCTCAGACCTCATTTTCAGGAGCCTAAAGATGGGATGATGTGTGGGCCTCACTATGAACAAGAATCTTCACTGTGATCAGAAAGGAGCAGGACTCTGTCTGGGTGCAAAGATGAAGAGCCCAAAATGAGCCTCTAGAAACACTCTTGGATCCTACTGATGAGTTGGAAGTGTCTGCAAGTGTCCCTAAGTTTGCATGTACTTGTTTCTGAGGATGGCAGTGACCACACCCCTAGGGATGCATACTGTGGTGAAACATGGAGAATCTATGCCCGCAAGGTGATGGAGGAGAGGGAGAGACGCACATAACGTTTCATCGAGTTGCCCTCATCTCTGTATCGTTAGGGAAAGGCTGAGAGGAGGCTGAGGGCTCTGACTCTCAGACTCTTCGGCTTGGCAGGTGCTGCAGCCCCGCCCCTTACCTGAGGGCCTGGCCTCGATGACATAGCCGGTGGTGGGCGTCCTGCCCGCATTTCCCTCGATCCATTGCAGGGTCAGTTCAGAGGCGGACTTGGTGACCAAGACATCTCTGGGGGACCCCGGGGAGCCTGTGGGATAAAAGAGACAGGGGCGGGTAGAGACTGGCACTCGGGGGGCTCCTCATCCCACAGGTGGGACCAGCCCTGCCCAGGCTCTGTCTATTCCTCCAGGCAGGTGGCTTAGCCTTGCCTGGTCACACTCTGCTCATCCCAGATGTGGGAAGGCTACACTGGCCTCATGGGTTGGCCAGACGTGAACAGAGATGAGCCAGGCAACGGGCCCAGGACTGCGCCTGGCACGCAGTGGGCCCTCTGGGAACCTGGATTCTGCCACCCTCGCCTTGCGAAGGATTTAAAAAAATGCCAAAATAGTTTAAGTGGGAAGCTACAGGGCTCCTTGGCATGATGTGAGCACTTCAAAATTTCTTGTGTACCTTATTTCAAAAACTGCACTTGTTTTGGGGGGAGCCTGGGTAGCACAATTGTTGGGCAGCTGACTCTTGTTTTCGGCTCAGGTCATGATCTCAGAGTCGTGAGGTCGAGCCCTAAGTCGGGCTCCACGCTCAATGGTGAGTCTGCTTGGGTTTCTCTCTCGCTCTCCCTCTGCCCCCCACAAAAATAAATAAATAAACCTTTAAAAAACTCACTTGTTTTCTCCTAAGCTTTTCCAGAAAACAGCCCCAAACGTTACATGTTTAACACCTAAGAACTTGCTCATCTCTGTTTAACAAGCCCATCCGGGAAGTTGGTGCTAGCACGTGATTTTGAAGACACCCATGCTGCCAGAAGGCTTCTGCGTTTCTGCCCGCTCTGGGTGGGCCACAGCCGCTTGGCCTGTGGCGGGGACGGGCCCCCGACTGGCACGGCGCCGGGCGCGGGGCCCTTGGCGGAGCTCCACTTACCCTCGGCTGGCCCGGCCGTGACATTGGCTTGCAGCTCAGGCCCGTAGGCAATGGTCCGCGCCTGCACGCGGAAGAAGTAGGTGACTCCCTTGGTGAGATCGCGCACCTTCAGCCAGCGCTGCCCGTTCCCCTTCACGTCCACCGTCACCACCTTGCTCACCCCTGCAACCACCGAGAGCAAAGGCCGGGAGGGGGCTGGGGTCAGAAGAGCCATGGCACCACCTACTTCGCCGTGACGACAGCGACGAAGTCCCCGGCTCGCTAAGGAAGTATTTCTTACAATCGGGAGGAGTTTAAGTGGTGGTAATAGGCAATTTTCAACAAAGATAAGTGTAATGACGTTCGAGTCTGATACGTGGTGCTGGCAAAGTGAAGAGCCAGCCTCACGGTGCGATGCCGGGAGGTGGCCCACGCATCCTGCCTCGTGCGGGGAGGGCCCCCATCCTCCCGCGCCCGGGTCAGGCCCCCCTCCCGCGGGCTCTGAGCTGCACCAGGCTCTGTGTCGCTTGCGTAGGTGACCTGGAGCTTCCCGACTCCAGAGAAGAGAACAGGGAAGAAGATGCAGAAGATTTTGTTTCAGCTACAAGATGGGCTTCCCCCTAGAGGGGTCTCCAGCCCGACTGGGTTGGCCAACCTGTGGCCTAAAGGCCCCCAAACCACTCATGAGAACTTGATCCTTGGACCCTGAAGCAGGACAAAGAAAGACCGTCACTGCAAATATCGATGCCCTGATTCGGAGAACCATGAGGACAGATAACAGTTCGCTTACATAAACGAAGTGAGCGTGTGGTTGGTTGTATTACATGGAATGAGAAAACCGAGATTTAACATTTGGGGGGAAGACGCATGGTGAAGATTATACAAATGCAGCATTTTCCAGGACAGAAATGGGGCTCTCTGGTTAAATAAGTTTGAAGATGTGCCCTCATCTCGCATGGCTCAAGAAAGGGGGTTCAGGATGACAGCTTGCACACACAAAGACCGTCATCAGCAAACTGATGGGGTCTTCTTCGATATAAAGTTATTCTGGATAGCAACCCTCTTTTTTTTTAATTAAAAAATGCCTTCCTTTCCCCCAGAGCAGAAACAAACCCATGTACAGATTTTGTGAATTCCATCCCACCAGGAGGTAGAGCTAGTTTGACCTCCCCTGCATCTCAACTATGTCAGAATCTTATTTATTTAGTCAATTTTTAAACCGTGCCCTGCACTACAAAGCCCTGGGGTGCAAGCACATAAAATACTCCCGTTTAAAACATTTTAAAAAACATAAAAGTAAAATCCGTTCCCCCAGAATGTGGCTCAGGCTCCGCGTGGCTTGGTTCTCCCCACCGTGACCAGGGGACTGGCCCAGGGAGGTGAGGGATGAGCCAGGCCCGTCTTCTCGATGGAGTGACCCCGGGGCCTGCTGGCAGGGGGAGGCTGCCGGGCTCTCTGCTCCCTTGGCCTGGGCCGATGAGTGGCTGGCCGGCCCGGAGTCTGCCCGCGTGCAGCCCAGGCACCGCCCAGGGCTAGCAGAATCATTACCGGGCGACATCACCGCTTTACAGCTTCTCCCCAGCTTGACCACACACACGTGTATAAACACACACGTCATGTCTTCGGCAATCCTCACAAGAGGGCCGGCCGGCATTACTGCAGAGTTCGTATGATGCTAGCCTCCCAGGAAAGATGACTGATGTTTTCACTACATTTGTAACTCCGTCTCTGGGAAACGTAGAGGTTCTCGGAGGCATCAGGAAGAACTGGAAATCGTTCAGAGACCCACTTGCTACTTTCATGATTCCCTGTTGGAAATCTGGAGCCAACGTGAAGGGGGCAGGGGTTGGGTTTCTCTAAGAGACCCCCACTCTAGAAGCTTGCACACCGAGCAGGTTGGCTGGCCGCTGCCCTAGGGGAGGGGACACAATGAAGGCTTCTTGGAGCCACAAGAGGAGCCCCTCCCATCCCGCCTGCCCCTGGGAGAGATGGATCTGGGTGTGGAGGTGGGACAGCGAGGGCTGGACGAGCCCGCCGGAAATGCTGGGCAATCACACCTCAGCAAGGCACAGGACGATGCGCTGCGTGTGTCCCCATCACTGCCTTCTGTTCAGCCCCTATGGCCTCATCCCTGAGCGTCTGGTCCCTTTCACTATATAACAGCACGCACCGTCCTACGTGTAACTGAAAGTTCCCCTCGCCAGCCCCAGGTCAAAACGCCCCAAAGGGCCTACGTGCAGAGAGAGGCCACAGCAAGTCTCTCCTGCTCCGAGTTTCTGCCCTTTCCTGGCCTGTGTTCTCTTCGGGGCTGGAAGGGGTCAGGACTAGCGTCCTCTGTCGGGCTAAGCCAGGGGCTCTGGCAGATGCCGTCAGACCAGGCAGGCACATGGTGGGATCCTGCAAAGTGATACTGATGTTAGAGGTGAGCAGGGACACTCCCAGAAGGTCACAGGGTCAACCAGGGAGGCACCAAGGAGCAGGGCTGGTGAGTCTGCTCCTCAGGAAGAGGCTGTTTGCTGGTGGCCAGGGAAGCGGGAGGATGTGGGAAGGACATGGGGGACCTGTGGCCGGCCTCACCCCCGGCTGGAGCGGGGACAATGCTGTTTCAGGCTCAGCGGCAGCTTCAATGTTTCCTGTCACCAGCCCCAGGTCTGGATCAGCCACGCGACGGATGAGCAGGAATCAGTGAGTCTGGGATGCGCCCAAGCCACTGACACAGTCCAAGTTTGGGGGTCTGGACGGTTTGCTCTTAAGCGGCAGGGGACCTGAGGAAGCTGTGCACCCTGAGAGTCTGGAGAAATGCATAAGGTGCTGAGCAAAAGCACTTTCTCCTGCCCTGATTTCAAAGCGTATCACGCTCACTGCTGAAGCCAGGAAGATCCAGGTGGGCAGAACCAGCCCTCCCGACGGACAGAAGAGATGATGCCAGTGACGGGCGAGAGGCGAAATGGTGTCACCAGTGACCCCACCTGTTGTCACTCCAGGGAGAACGGGAAGAACAGGTGGCCATGAAACGCTTCAATGATCGCTCCGCACGCTTCTCTCCGTGGCGTTCCCGGTGTGTTTACTTGCAGAAACGCAAGTGCTCCAGATGTTTCCCACCGCGGTGGCTCTCGAACCGGCCTGCCCAGGTTCAAACCCCACGTGCGTCCACATTCCCCACCTGCAGCCCCGGGCGGCCGTCTCAAGGGCTCGAAGCCCGATTTCTTGTGAGATGTGAGTAAAAGCGGCCCCCACACTGCGCAGCCTGTGAGGACGCAGACGAGTGTGTGTAGGTGCTTCACACGGGCCTGGTCTGTAGAGAGCTGCATCATCCCACCTACGATCGCGGACATGCACGTGGGGCCGTGCTTACAGGGAGCACCAAGGAAGCCGCGTGTCAGCTGTGCATGAGGTACCGGAGTGTCTCACTGCGTCGTGTGAATGATGCCGGGGTTCCCGTGGTCACGGGACCACACCCCCGACCGCACCAGGGAAACCGCATGCAGGATTATGTCCCTGGAAGGTGAGGCGAGGCCGTGGGGACAGACGCCTGGCAAGCCAGCAGGACTCCTGGACGTCGGGACCACGGAGCACGGGGGATGAAGAAGCAGGGCCGCCGTGGCCCGCCACCAGTCAGGGACGATGGCCAGGGTCTTGCTTAGACAGCAAGTGCTTTTTACAAGACCAGGGGAGCCGGCCTGGGCGCCAGGCCCAGAGGTGCCCGCCACGGAGTTTCTAGAGATTCTACAAACCCTTTCCCGCACTTATTTGAGGAAGCACGGGAAGACTCACTGTCTCGATGAGGAGGGACTCCAAGGTCGCTCGGGATCGCGAATCCTGGCAATCCTTTCTCCGTGTGTGGCTAACAGCGTCTGCAGCGTGGGCTCCCGGAACCCACGTGTGTGTGCACGTGTGGGCACGCCCGGGAGTGTGCGCAGATGGAACCGGGCAGCGGATGGACGGTGCCCAGGGGCGCTCTGCGCTTTGTCCATGCGGAACGAGCACTCACAGATGCCTGGTTCCTTCTGGGTCTGTGCTGCAGAGACCCCAACCCCGCCGCGCCCCGGCCCCCTGGTCCCCAGACAGGCACCCGTCCTGAAAAGAACAGAGCAGCAGGACACAGCCGGTGCCGCGCCCTCCACCATTTCCCGACCTCTGCGGGTATTTGCCAAAGCGTGTCAATGTCTGAGACCCTTTCTTCCTGCACAGCTTTACATCTCTGATTTGGGATTGATGACGCAAACGTACTGGGCCGCGGTTTACTGCAAGCATTTTTTCTTTGCTAGCACTTCATAAAATAACAATGAATCTTAGAGTTAATAATGGCATTTTAGATTCAATGACATAAAATCTAGTGCTTAAATTTTCTTCCAATCAACCCCGTTTTACTGGAATGTACTTATTTTAAAAGGAAACTTTTATCACGGCTTTAAATGGAGTGCCAATATTATTTGATGTGTTGGTTATATTTTTTCGTCCTAGACATTAAATAATCTATAATGTTTACAGTCTGGCTGTGCGTCCTACCAGGGGGAGCCTGCCCTGGGCTTGTCCCCCTTCTCTGACATGGTGTTGGGCACATGGTGGGTGAGGAAGAATGTCTATGGAGCCCTCCAAGAGCACGTCAGCTGTGAGCGGGGAGGAGGGACGGGTAGGGGAGAAATTACCCCAGCGCCAGAGGGATAACCCGGGGGGCGGAGCAGTGTGCCGAGTGGCCCAGCCCACGCACACTCCCGTCACTGCCCCCTCCCCACGCGGTGCGCAGTCTCCCCTGCAAACGCACGCAGCCCCTGTCCCCACTTCTCACCCCCAGGCCCCCAGCTCCAAGCCCCTTGCCAGGTGCCGCGGTTGCCGCTGGTCTCCCCAGGCCCAAACCTCTGTGCCGGGCCGCAACCCCTTCTCCCCAGAAGCTTCTGTATCTTCTCTTCCCATCGATAATTCATCTTCATGCCTCTGTCACTGTGTCTCTCACGCTCCTCTGTGTGTAAACATTTCTGCTGCTCTTCTTGGAGGGTCTGTGCTTCTTCTGATTGATCCTTGGAAGTGTGGAGCTGATCAATAAATCTTTTCATTCCACGGCGTTGAGACTGTGGTTGTAGCCAGAGAGGCCCTGGTCTGTGTGAGCCAGACCCTCTCAGGGCCCTGCAGCCACGGCCCTCGTGACCTGGCCCTTGTGACCCAGCCCTGGTGACCCAGCTCTCGTGACCCGGCCCTGGTGACCTGGCCCTTGTGACCTGGCCCTGGTAACCCTGCCCTGGTGACCTGGCCTTTGTGACCCGGCCTGCTGCTCTCGCACGACCTCCTCCCCACTCCTCAGGCTTGGCCTCAGGACCCCGAGCCCGACCCTGAGCGGCCCATGCGCTGCTGAACTTCCCCAGGCTGGGAGCTCGGCACGCCTAGGTCCTCGAGACATTGGTCACCATCACATCGTGGATTGTTTGTGGGTGTGTTGCTTCTCTCCTTGCTGGAATACAGACTCATGGATTCAGGGAAGCAAGGATCGTGATGAACAGTTCGGTGAAGGTCCCTGCTTCCCCAGATCTATAGACTCCAGCATCTAGAACAGCACTTGGCATGCAGCAGGAGCTTAATAAAGATTCGAGGGAATGAATGCATGAAGGGTGTCACTGGAGAAATCTCTGAGGACGCTGGACGGTCAGCACCTCTCCTAGGATGCCCATGGAACATGATGGGCCTACGTTCTCCATGTGGTTCTAACAAGTGGTGCCCAGGACACAGCAGAAACAGGAGAGAAATGTCTTGGGTCAAAGGGAGAAAGGTCAAAGAGTGTCCTGTTGCAAGTCGGCCGGGGGAGGGCTGTGTTGGAGCCCAGGGCGCGGACATTCTGGTCCTGGCCCCGCGATGGCTCACAGGCCTTTTGCGGACTGGGGAGTGGCTTGCGCGCCTGTGAGGTTGGCTTTCCCTGCTGCCCCCCTCGGGCCTCACCTTGGACGGGTGCTAAGGGCTCGTAGACCACTCGGTAGCCCTGCAGGATGCCGTTGGCCGCCGCCGGTTCGCCCCACGAGACATTAAGCGTGGTAGAGGTTATTTCTGAGAACGCCAAGAAGCTGGGGGTCCCAGGAGCTGGAGGAACAGAACGTAATGGGACTTTCAGTCAAGCTCCTTTATAGATCATTTACGTACACGTCTATGCCTCCACATAGACTAAAAGCGTTATTAGATGTTATTTTCAACTCAGTAAAAGTCTCCATGCTCTGGCATGAAAGAAGACTTATTGTCTGTCTCTGAACTTGCCCGGATCCATCAGAAACCTGGACCCTCTCGAGAAGAGCAGAGAAAATGATGGGGTTTAACACAAAGGAGCCTGAAAGACAGTGACAAAGGCAGAAAGATGAATAATAGATAGAGGCGCAGAATGAAAGGCGGATGGCTTCACTTCCCAGCGCGGAACCCTGCTGGAGGCCCCGCCCCCTCTCCGCCCTGGCCTGTGGGTATGTGTGGGAGGCCCTCTCGGGCTCCACCTGGGGCTGGAGACAGGGGGCCCCAGCGAGCCACCCTGGGTGGGAGAAGCTGCCTGTGGCCGTGGAGGCCCAGGCGTGTGGTCAGGGAGCGGAGCCTCCTCACCGCCCCCTGGCCTGGGCTCCGTGTGGGGGTCGGTGCCCGGGACTGACCCCCGGAATCAGCACCACGCGTCCTCCCAGCTGTGCTCCCTTCAGTCACCCCGTGACCTGCCAGGTGCCTGGTGCCCTGGGGAGGAACAGGTGACCCAGCTGGGATTCCAGAAACGGCCCCTCCCCAGCTGCTGGATGAGGTCCCCGGGAAGCTGCCCTTGCAAGCTGGTCAGTCATGTGGGAAGGACGCATGATGCTAGGGAGTCCCCGTCCCCAGGAGATGAAGCACCTAGGGGGTTTCACTGGTTGAACCCACTGACTTCCCGGGAGCCCTGAGCGAGACAGATCTCCCTGGCTTTCCTGGCTTTGCACTTCCTGGGTCCCATGAACGAAGTGCCTCTCAGAGATCCCCAGGACCAGTGCTAAGTTGCATTCCCTGGGAACTCCTGACCACCTCCTAAGTTCTCCAGGCTGCTGGGAAGCTGAGAGGCACAGGAGAATGAGCCTCGTGCTGGAAACACACTCCGTGTGTGGGGGTGGGGCGGCAGGCAGGGTGACGTCTGGTCTCGCAGTGCTCTTGGGCCTGGCTGGTGGCAAGAGTCTGAGAGGCTGTGGCAAGCCGTTCCGTGTGGTCTGTGACCCCAGAAACCCGGGAAGCGCCCAATACTGTGGCCTGGACTCTCCATGCACAGGTGCTCGTCCCCCAGGGGTGTGGACATGCCGGGGCCAAGACCCCAGTAAGAAGCTCCTTGAGGGAACTGGAAGGAGGTCTGGGTGCAGATGCAGAGCCCGCCTGCCCTCCGTGGTCCTGGAGCGTCTACGGGAAAACATGCACCGCTCACAGCCACCTCGTGGGTACCGGGGGCCGCCATGCAGCAGGCTGAGGCCAGGCCCTGGGGGAAGCAAGTGAATCGAACCCAGGCCTCTGCAGGAATGGCTCGGCACACAATGGTGTGTTGCAGGGCAGGCTGAGCAGTGAGCTGCTGGGGACAGAGGGCAGGGCCCGCTTGTTCAGCTGGGCTCAGGGGCGACTGCAGGGGCACCAGGCCTGTGGCTGGCAGAGGGGGGCCCAACTGAAGACTGTGGGAAGGAAGCACGCCGCTCTCCTACCGGCCTGATGCGTGCGCCCCTGCCTGGGGTCGCTCTGCGGCCCGTCCCCGGCGGCGTTGAAGGCGGAGATTCTGACCAGGTACTGGGTGTGGCTGGTCAGGTTCTTCAGCTTCACCACGGTCTCCGGCAGGAACAGCACCTTCATCTTCTCCGTTTCGTTCTGGCTGTCTGCCTCCCAGTAGTAAACCTGTTGGAAAGAGCCAGAGGTCAGAGGCAGGCCGTGGGAATGGGGTGGCAGCCCCCGTTTCAGAGCTCGTTCAGGGGAGGTGGCCCAGCCAGTGCAGGGTGAGGCGGGACTGTGGGCCCGAGCACGAAGCCCCTGGGTCAGGCCATGCTGCGGCTGGGAAGGCCGAGAGCCGGGGGGAGGGAAGTCAGTGCCGGGGGGAGGGGGGTCCTCGGCTGCTAATACAGTTTGGGAAGCCAATAATTTGCATTTCTGAGTTGTTCTTCTGGAATTTGGGCTTTGCCTAACAGAACACGGAACGTGGCACTTTCCTCCAGCTCCCTGTGAATGCCTTTTCCTTTCCAGAGCTCGGTGCTTTGATTTATGGCCTCTGTCCTGTCCCTCAGTCTTCTGGACAGAAGGAGACCGACCCTATCCACCCCTGCTCCAGCCTGTGCAGTGAACCTGGGCCTCTGCCCTGCGCTCCCACGGCAGGCCGACACGTGAGTCTTCAATCCACGGGGCACCAAAAATAACCCGGGGAAGAACCACGTCGGGCTCAGCACTGTGGGGGAAGGCCCCGTGCTTCTCCCAGATTTATTTCCCCTCACCCAGCTTGTATGTGCTCGTGGACAGGCTGGAGGAGGTTTCCAGGATCACTTCCCTGGACAGCGGGCCGAGGACGGCTGCCCCGCCCCAGTGCCAGCCGGGCTGCCCTAAGACAGCACCCACCCGTGGACCCACCTTGGCTCCGTGGGCCGCAACCCAGCCAGGCCATTCATGCAGAGAGCCGGGGCCCACTTCCCACCTCCCGCGGGGTCCCTCCGTCCAGCACTCTGCTGGCGTGTACCCGGACCATGAGCACAGCTGGCTTGCGCCGGCCAGACGCGGTCCAGCTTCTGTTCTCCCGACTGTGCACAGCCGATCCTGTGCTTGGACAGGCCTTACTAACTTGAGATCAATATCCAAGTTCAATGTCTTTATCATTAAGGAAATTAGAAAACATATTTTGTACATACATAAATAGCATCTTGCCTCCAAGCTCACGAGACTTCCCACTAGCTCATTAATCACTGTAACAGCCCTGCTGTGGAGGAAGGTATTTATTTTCATAAAACACCGACAAAAATCATTTTTAAATGGGCATTTAATTGGCCCAATAGTCATCAGGGCAGGCTGGCCGCAGAAGCTGATGACCGCCCGTCCTGGGCCTGCAGCAGGAGAGGCATTCAGGGGGAGTTTGCCGGGGACAGCCCAGGGCTGCTTTCTTCGGGGCGGTTTAGCTGGTCCTTCTGAGTTCTCTCCACAGAAGTGGCCTTGCAGACAGGCATGGGGGGCTTCCTGCCCCCCCCCAGATGAACCCACTCTGGGTAATCACTCAACGGCCCGCTGCCTTTCTTTGGCCCCATCTCCGGAATGGTTAACTAATGTGAAATCGTAAGATTTTAGTGTGGTGGTTCTCAAAGTGGGCTTCCTAGGAACCACACCCCTGGGGGAACTTGTTAGAAATGCAAATTCTTGGGCCCCTCCAGCCCGGGCCTCACGAAATGTTCAATAGAAACCCAAGGGCAGAGCTGGGCTGGAGAGCCTGTTCTCTTCAGCCCGCTCTGTTTTATTGTCAGCAGAGATACTGGAGGCCTCCAGAGCAGGTGCAGGGGCAGAAAGGGGTCCTGGCCGGGCCTGGGAGGGACGGAATCCTGGGCACCAGGCCCCCACCCCCAGGCCCGGAGGCAAGGTCAGGCTAAGCCTGCTCCAGCCGCTCAGTATCGCCCGTGGCTCTCCGGGCAGACGGTTGGCTGTGGGTCTGCCGGCAGGACATGGAGTGTGGCCGGGGTTCCAGCAAAGCCCTCGGGAACTCTGGGGATCGAGGCCACTTATCCCGGCCTACGGGTGACCTGGAAGGAAGAGCCAAACCATGCGAGAGAGCATTGCCTTGTAGCCCTGGATGTTCCCGTTCTGGCTCTCCGGGGGCGGCGGGTCCCACGTGACCTCCAGCTGGCTGGCCGTGAGCGGGGTCACCTGGATGTTCTGCGGAGCCATGGCTGGGGCTGGGGAGAGAGCAGTGCAGGACAGGAGCTGAGATGTCTGTTGACGCGTGCAGGGCCCCTAGCTGAGAGCCTACCCCGGGCCATCCAACCTTTATGCCAGGGAGCCCTGCAAACCCTTCCTGGAATCACGTTTAGAGATGCATAAAATAGTCTGCAGAATTACAAAGAAAACAGATTCTATCGAGACACAGTTGGCAGTGTTCAAAAACAAAGGTATGATCCGGTCATCTGTGGGCCTCGTGAGTGGGACGTGAGGTGGTGTTGGCAGGCTGGTCTAAGGGCTACTGTGACGTCAAGGTGTGACGCGTGCAGGAGGATCTGAGGTCTCAGCACCAACCGGGACTTGACAGGGGACGTCGGGGGGCCTGCCGCTGAGTGAGCAGCAGGTCCTGCTGGCCCTATGGGGTGTGTTGCCATGTTCGCAGTGGAGCGAGGCACTGCGTTTTGGATGGAACGTGGAGAAAATAAGGCATCTGTGTGCCCATGCCAGGAACCTCATGGGGAGGAGCCCCATTCCCTGGGGCTGCAGACGCCGGGCTGATCCCCCAACAGGGTCAGGAGCACAGACAGCACCACTCCCTGTGGCCCTGCCCTGAGGCCCCTCACGGCTCCAACTCTGAGGACCGGGTCCTCCCGCCCCGAGGGCCACACTGTGCTCGGAGAGGTGGGGAGGACACTGCGGCCGACGGCTCCAACTCTGAGGACCGGGTCCTCCGGCCCCGAGGGCCACACTGTGCTCGGAGAGGTGGGGAGGACACTGCGGCCGACGGCTCCAACTCTGAGGACCGGGTCCTCCGGCCCCGAGGGCCACACTGTGCTCCGAGAGGTGGGGAGGACACTGCGGCCGTCGGCTCAGCAGGCGGCCCTTGGGAAGCTGGGCGAGAGCATGTGTGCACACGCAGAACACGTCTCGTCTGCATGCGCCAACCCCGCGCCGTCTCCGAATTCCTTGCCCGGCACCTGTGTGCATGATGGGCTCCTCTCTGCCTCCTGGGAGCTACTCCTTTCCCCTGCCCCCTGTGCATGCCCCCACGGGTCTGTGCTGGGCTGGACCCCGGAGCCCCGGAGCTGTCTGGGGGCCTCGGCCTGCGGGCCCAGGGGCGTTTCCGGGCTGTGCGCAGAGACGACACAGCCACTGTCCGAGGGCGACGGCCCCACACGCCGGCTCTCGGGAGAGAACGACCTTCGAGAGTCACCCCTTCCCCTCCCTCCCCACAAAGCAGAATAAAATAGTAATTAACTCCCACTCAGCCTGACACCGACTATTTATTTTGTTCTAACTGTGTGGCTCCCGTATGATCACTGCCCACCCTGCTGTTAATGGGAATGTTAATAACCGACACCAGGTTGTTGTGACAGATGCTCGGCCTTATTATCAGAAATTCTTATTTACCGCTCCATTAAACAACAGAATCACACAAAAAAACAATTCAATCAAAACTAACTGGAGGAATTTTAACAGCCACATTAATAATCCAAAACATAAATAAAGTTAATGTCTTGCATGTTTGCCATCGGCAACTCTATTGCAAAATTACTGTTGTACAATTAAAACGTGAAAGGCGAAATTGAGCACGGCCATTATCCCGGTAGTCGGTTAGAACCGTCTGTGCGTGGTGCCCCACCCCCACCCCCACCCCAGGGTTTCCTTCCCAAACCCCGGGCCCGAGACTGTTTTCTGGACACAGAGGTCCACAGAAAACTGGGGCTCCCAGGGACTCGAGGCGGCTCCTGGAATTCAGGGGCCACATGCCTCTTGGCCAGGGTCGTCACATGCTGGACAAAACCCGTTGGTCCCGTGCAGGTCCCGAGCTGCTCTGATGTGCCCACCAGCTATCCTGCAGCACAGAGCTTTTGTGCCATAAAAATGCTGCAGGGAACAAGGACATTTTTGGTGACGACACCAGCAGGGAAGAGAGAAATGTGTGCAAACAGAGAGCAGAGCGTGTCGGTTTTGAGATGCATTTTCTTGGCTCCTGAAAGCGTCTGGGTCTCCACGCCAGCAGGATGACCCGACTTAGGGAGGCAATGCCGTTTACAGCCCCAAATACAGTACTTGTTGGTCATGGCGCATGTGCGGGGGGGCATGGACGGAATGTCTGACGAGCCCTTGCTCGCGCCTGTGATGTACGGTAAACACAGGTGTCAGCCTGGGATGCTTTTGTCACATGCATGAAATCGGCATTAAAGAGCATTTTTGCACAGCTGCCTCTGACACGTGCTGAGACATGGATTGCCCACAAGCAGCCCTGAGAGGTGGCTTGCAAAGGTGATGCCTGGCGTCAGGGCTGACGATGCCACCGCGCCCCAGGGAGCCAGTCCTCGGTGGGGTGGCTCCTGCCATCCTGGCCACAGAGCCGCCAGAGACAGAGCCCACCGGAGCAGTAACAGAGGAACTTCGGGGCCTTTAGAGGTACCCTGCCCCTGAAGATTTCTGGAATCTTCTGGGATTCTGGCTGATTGCACAGGGAGGCCCCGCACACAAGCCCCACAGAGCAGGAAGGACAGCACTTCGTCCTTCTCACCCGACCCCCCTGGGGCAGACGCACTGCCCCGACCTGGCTGGCCAGCAGCAGCCGGGTCAACGAGCAGCTGCCGGAACAACATGGCTATGCCTGGCTCCGTCTTAATTTGCTGGAGAGCAGAGAGCCCTGGCTCATGGCCCCCTAAGCCCGTGCCCACCAGGCCCCAAGCGGACCTGGCCACTCCTCAGTTCTGAGCTGCAGACCCTCCCTCGTCAGCATTTAAGAGCTTCCGCTCCAAGGTGAGGTCACTGGACAGGGCCCATGTGGTCACACCACGGAAAGAAAGAGACAACAGGCCTGGAAAGATTTCTGGTAGATGAGTGCACGCTTGGGAGAGTCAGGGAAGGTTTTGTGTGCTGCAGGAAATAACTCTGCAGACTCACTCACTCACTCGAACTACCCACTGCCTCTGTGGGAGGGTCGTCGGTCCGGCCTGGGGAAGTCTCCCTCCTGAAGGGGCCCACATGTCCCCCTGCTGGCCCCAGCGTGGTTGATGACAGCAGAGCAGTAGTCACACATGGGCAGGATTGACCCAGGCCACCTCCCGGCAGAAGCTTCCAGAGGGTCCCCGGCCGGCTACCTCCTCTTTCCCCACTACCACCTGAGCAGCAGTTCCCACACGGGGGCTGAGCCCTCAGTCTGTGTCTTGGAGAGGAGATGACGGGGAGCAGGAGGGACCCAGCTGGCCGAGGAGGACGGAGAATGTGAGAAATTACCGCTGGTGATTAAGCCACTAGGACTTCGGCGGCTGGTTGTCACCACAGCGTATAATGTGCTGACATTTTCCTGAATATCGACCGGGCCCTAGGCTTGGCGCTGAGGGGTGGGTGGACACAAAGACACAGCAACACGTGACAAGAGAGAGAAATCACAGTAATCATGATACAGGGTGTGATGTGAGGACAGATTCAAAGGGCCACGAGAAGTCATTTCTGGCCAGGGACAGGGGGTCTTTCCTGGAAAAGAGTATCCTTCAATAACGGGGAGGATTCAACATGTGACAATGGGCCAGGGAAGCGAGGGCCACGTACGAGGCTGGAACGGGAAGAGCAACAGGGTGGGGTATCTGCTGGGGTCACATCGGACAGATGGTCATCCAGGTGCCAGTGCCACCTGGGGCCGTGCTGGGCATCTGCCAGTGCTAAACCATGCTAGGCCATATCAGACCAAGCTAGATCATGCTAAGTCATGCTAGGCCATGTTAGATCATATTAGGCCATGCTAAGGTCATGCTAGGCCATGCTAGGTCATGCTACATCATGCTAGGCCATGCTAGGCTATGCTAGGCCATGTTAAACCATGCTAGGCCATGCTAGGGGATGCTAGGCCATGTTAGACCACTCTAGATCATGCTAGGTCATCCTAGGCCATGTTAGATCATGCTAGGCCATGCTAGACCATGCTAGGCCATGCTAGGTCATGCTAGGCCATGCTAGATCATGCTAGCCTATGCTAGGTTTCTTTCACTTTCTGCAACCCAGGGATTTATTTTTTGGGTAGAGCAATTTTTTAACTGATACCTTGAGGATCATTGTTAACATTTTAACATAATGAGACAGGTATTTGTTTTATATAATAAAAAAATTATACATTCATCAGTTAACATTAATTACATCCCCATTTTTCTGGCCACTCTTTCTGATTTCCTGTCAAAACAAACAGGAAATAGAATTCTCTAACATAGTTTACCTTCTCAGCAAACTTTGCTAATACAATCTGTTCCTCTCAGCCAGGGTACCTGGAGAGAGACTCCGGCTCTGGGTAATTATCTAACCTCTGGGGCCTTCGCAATACATAAAGGAGGTCTTTAACTCAGTAGGGGACAAGTCAAGACTGGAGACAGAATAATGACTCAGCGCAGGAATGGGGGAAAGGAGAATCTCAAAAGGTGAGCAGAGCCTGGAAACACAAAGGCTTCGTTCACTTCTGGGCAGGGGCACAGTCCCAGAAGGAAGACAGGAGAATCACTGCTGTCACCAACATCAAGTCCAATGCCCGGGGCCCCGCAGGAGGTCAGGCAGCTGCCAGGCCTGCCCTGAGGAACTCCGGGTCTGTAAACCAGTGTTCAGTTCGACATCACACAGTAACGTTTAAAAAAGCCTATAACAGAACTCAAAGTGAGAAGATCGTGTTTTATAAATCTGTAATGAACACGAAAGACATGGATCACCCTTTTCTCAAACCAAAGCCCCTTCTCCCCAGACATCTGCAGGGCCTTTTGAAGAGTGGTGTTCTCATCTAGTTTGCCGGCTGCTGGAATCACTGTGACCCATCAGGGGGTGTGACCACAGTGCTGAGGACGGCGCGGGGGTGCGTGTGCAAGCCTTTTGTCTGGGCTCACCTCACCCTCATAACCCCAGGAGGCGGGCTCTCATCACTGCCTTTCCTGCAGGGGAAGACCGGGGCGGAGAGAGAAGGGCCTGGCCCCGGGTCTCAACTCACACCGCACTGGTGTGAGAGAAGGGCCTGGCAGCC